ATTAATTGTTTATTATTGAATAATAATGAAGATCTTATCATATCAGGAAGTAATGATAAAACAATTAAATTTTGGATAAAAAAGAATGATTGGACATGTTCATAAACTATTACAGATTCTACAAATGATGTTTTAGGATTAAGTTTGAATGAAAAATAAAATAGAGTGATATCTTGTGGAATAGATATGTTTATATTAATAATAGAGTAGTAATAATAGGATTAGAAATGGAATGTAATTTAAAAGATAAAAGTTGATTAATATGGTTATAGAATATGTTTCATCAATGATAATGTATTCACATTTCAACCAAGTGTAAAAGAGTAAATGTATGTTTATGAGATCAATATTAATAATAATTAGTATTCAAAGACAACACAAATTGCTGTGAAATCTGATTCTAATGGATGTGCTTATTACTTTCCATAATAATATATCAAATCGAAATGCCTGCTGGTGAATAAAAACGGAAAAAATGTTAATTTGATAAGAAAAAACCAAAATGGTGAATTTATAACTTAATAATCTATTTAATTTGGAAATGAATGTATATATGGATAGATGAGTGAAAATGGAGAGTATTTGATAACTCGGGATAGGATATCTAAACAAATATAAATTAGAAAATATCAGTAATTATGAACAACAAGGAATGAATGAATGAATCAGTAATCATTATATTTTAATATTTATTTAATATCGATATAAAAAAATATATAATAAAATATGCCCTATACTTATGAATAAAATTAAGAAAAATATGAAACGTCAGAGATTTACACTAATCATTGCAACTCTAGAATGTTTGAAATAAATGGAATGAAAAATTTACGTACTATTTGATTTAAATCTTCAACCTTGTACAAGCATTTTGATTAGTTTTACGGTTGTATTTATAGAAATCCTCACATAAGCACAAAGATACTTATTAATAAATATTATTAATTCCTAAATTTTATTGAAATGATGAAATACATTATATATTTTGTTTTATAATTGAATATTTAGTCAAAAGATAAATTTTTCAACTTAATTAAGAGGAAGAAAGGGCGTGAAAAAGAATGATAGTAGAAAAACATATTGATGATCGAATATTCATATTATAGTAGATTTGATAGGCCAATAATAATATTGCTTGCTGAAAAGTAAATCTCTTAGGAAAAAGAATATTCTTAAAAAATATTGGTGACTAACTCAGGGAGTCATTATAATTTGAATATAAAATTAGAATCTATTAAATTCAAATTAATTCTATTTATTTTTATGACTTAAATAGAAATTATTTGAAATTCAGACATATTTGTTAAATTTTCATGAAAGAAATTAAACCGATAATTTGAGTTCAACCTAATTTTTATTAAATCAAGATTAATGTAAATTCTACATTAAATCATAACATATTTTAAGAAGTCAATATAAGTAAAAATTGAACCAAGAGTATAATAATATTTATGGATAACAAAGGTTAAATAACCAAATGGTATTATTTAAAAGTACTCTTCATTTATGTTACAAGTTTAAAAAGTACTAAATCAAAATATTTTAATGATTTTGTCAATGTTTGGATAAATAGAAGACATTTTCATTGTAAATAAATGAAATCTTATGAAGAGGATCCAATCACTTTTTTTTGTTTATATTTTTATTTGTACTTGAAGATGTGTATTGTAATTGTAATTTATTTTCTCAGTATTTTAGAGGAATTGTTCCTGCAATAGGATCCTTTTTTCGTTGTTCAGTCTGCTCCATAAGAAATGGCCGAAAAGATCAATTTGATATAAAACGATCCAAATCTTGATAATATTAGTAGCCCTATTTTTAAATTTGTTGTTTATATTGGAATTGCGATTGGTCAAAGATATTGAGATGACTATGATTCAACTTTGTTAACTAGTTTTCATTGTTAATAAATTATTTTATATATCTTTTGACTTAATCACTTAATATGAATCTAACTATCATCTCATTATTGGATTATCAGAGTTATATCACTTCCTCTGCTATAAATTAATTCTCTTGATAAAACATTCTAATAAACGACATAATGAATTTTAAGGCATTCTTTAGTTATTCCTGTAATTTTAAAAAGTGATATACTATTTTACATATTAATTGAGAAATTGCGACTCCTCTAATAAATAACATCTATTATATCAATTTTCAAATAAACCACACCACATAACTTAATAAATTTAAAAGATAAAGGAATTATTTACAAGATGTAACATCATTTTATAACAAGGCATATTCTAAAGATTTAATTTTTGATGATTTAACCTGATTGGAGAAATAATTGTTGGTTAAAAAACTATATAATAGAGAGGTGAATTGGATGAATGAAAATCTCATATTATAATAATTTATTAGATATGTGCTTTTAATATAAGAATTTAATAAGAATACTCTGATTGATTTAATAGTTATCTTTGTGATGAAATGATTTCCTTCATTTTTTTTAATTAATTAAGCGAATTTAAAATATTAGATATTTAATTGGACAAATTGAAATTCAAGTTTAGAAGTTGGATGTAGTTAGATATGGTGTTAAAAGCTTATTACTTGATTCAACTAATTAAGATGAGAGGTTTAATTTGAAATATCTGAAAAAATCATCTTATCACTTTAAATCAGCTGTTAATGTGATAGTTAGTATATTAAATATATATCCTTATGTTGAATTTCTTTTTCGCGTAAAAATACGCACTTATTTTGTCTATCATAATCTTGATTTCTTAAACTTCAGACTTTTTATTTAACTGATTTTAAGAACATTTGAATAATTTTCATTCTTTAGAAATTTGACTGCAAAAAAGTCTGATTAGCTTAAGGAGCTATTATTATATGGAGTGAAATTAACATAGAGTAGGAGTTAAAAAGGATTCGGCTTAAGAAAACCCTAGACCAAATTCATATTATGCAAACAATTGCCACAACTTGAACTTTAAAGCAAGCTAGTTTATTATTAGTGTTTATACTTCTTAATACCTAACTCCTTTTTCAAATATATATACACGTTCTGTTAAAGTTAATTTATCTTTTGAGTTTAGGATTTCGATAAAAAAAGAGATGATTTAGGTATTAAAGGATTAAATTATTGTTTGAAAGATGTTTAAGCTTTACTAACTTCTCCAGTACTTCAAGGGAAGTTTGACTAGAAGGTTATATCTGGGCTTAATGCTATTGAGCATCAAACTTATAAATCCAAAAAAAATCAATTTTTTCAGGAATTTCATTTATCAAGAGCGGGACAACACATAAAGTTGATTTCATAGTTCCATCAGACTTTAAAAACTAAATTGTGGCAAATGATATTGTTGCGAAAAATCAGTCGTATCATAAGCACATCTAATGCTCTGATGAAGAGTTCTAATTATCAATTTGCTTTTAAATCTTAATCCCTATTGATGTTGACAATTCAAGATTTCATTTTTGCACTCATCAATATTTAAAACATTATTATATTATTAAACTCAGTTCCAATAAAAGAAATCACGAGACTATGAAAAATTAACGTAAATATCATATAATTAAGAATTTTTATTCGAATAACAAAATATCAAATATTAATCCTCTTTTAAAAAGAAATATGATCCTTTAATTAAAAATAATTGAAGAGCTCTTTAATGACTTTAGCAGAAAATTTTGTTGTTTACAGACTCCCAAACTTAGTTATATTGAATTTCTTAAATTAATAATTTTTAAAAGTAAAAATCTGTTAGAGATTATGTTTATAATGTTCAAATTTAAAATTTATATACAAAAGAGGATATTTTAATTATTATCTTTAAATCTGAAAATATTCTTTCTTTTTTCCTTCCTCTACAAATTCTCTACCAAATAATAAGCATAATCCCCAATTATATAAACATATTTTGATGTGAGTTAAAAAGGTTGTGATTCCTACTGATTGTTTTAAAGTATGACTGAAGATATGTTCCAGTTTAAAGTATTTTCTTCTACATTATGAGATTAGTATTATTGAAAGAAGCGCGTCAATCGAGTATTCAACTTGGCTTGAAGTCTTTAATGAATATAGTAAATCAATTAGCTAACTTTGACAATGAAGAATCTTAAATAATTCTCCAGTAAATTGCAAGAGAAGTTCTTTTAAGCGAAGGGAGAGTAATAATTGCTTAAATTTTGCAAATTCTAATTTATTGTTGCCAGTTTTCAAAAAAAATAAGTTAGATATTTTAGACATCAAAATAATTTGAATTGTCTTATCATATTATACAATCAATTTCTCATGTTTTAAAGTTCTCTTAAAAGAAATTTTCTAAACTTCTTTTGGAAATATATTTTATGATCTAATAATAAAATTCGATCATTTTCACTTGATTAGAAATACTCAATTAATTTGCAGAAATACATTTTTTATTTTATTGATATTCCTTAATAAATTCAATTTAGAATTGTATTGATATTGTAAAACAATTAATCTAAAGGGAATAGTAAATTCTTGTAATAAAAAAGTCTGAAATGATAGGCAGTGCTTCATGATTATCTACTTTTAATTTAGTCAATGTTAAAAAATTGATAAACTTCGATCATTTTTAATTATTCATTATGGGCTATTACGTTTTTGATCTAAACGCAGCACCATTAAGCTTATATTCATCTTCAGCTGAGAATGGGAATTTAGGTGGAATCCTCTCTTATATCTGTATAGAAGTGTTATTTAATAAATTATGCTGATTTATCACTGATGGTAATATCTCTTAATATTTCTAAATAGAAAACATCCGAACTTAATTGCATTAGTCTAGACTCGATTGTATCTAAAAAGAGTTTAAAGTTTATTTCAACCAATTTTATAGGATTTTTCATTCGACATGACAACATTCTATATATTAGGTTAGCTGTTTTTAGAGCATCCAAATTATGCATAATGTCTACATAATCTAATAAATAGCTCGTTTCCATTTTATTCTTTCTTTTTTTTAATCATATAACAATCATTTCTATTATCAATGTACTAAACAAATTCATTTATATGCTTATCACAATCAACTATTGAGAGATCTGCATCAAATTTCATTATTAAATAGTTACTAATAGTTTTCATTTTGGCTGTGCAGAATCGTCCTTTAATGTGATTTTACCTTCCATTTGATATGATTAAAAAGAGAAGTAAAAAAGGATAATATATTCGAATTATTCGCTTGATATTTTTTACCAATACAATTAGAGTGCATTCAAATACTAATTCATATTATGCTTTGAAGAATTTGTTTTGGAGAAGGATCAAAGAAAAAAATTGTTAGTGGATATATCCTTTTGCCACTTTATGTATTTAAGGCATAAATAATGTTTTTAATTCAAATTGTTGTCATCTTATATAAGAGTAAATTTATAGAAAATATCAAAACAATGAAATTATCCTCTTAAAATGAAATATATAATATTTGAAAATATTGAAGTAAAACTTTAGAGTTAGAGTTCTATTAAGAACAAAATTCTTTAGTTACTTTGTAATTTGGCAACACGCAATTTCAATGTTAACGGGCATGATTTTTTCAATCAATTACACATTATCTATGAACAATTTTGAGTGAAGAATTTCTGATCCTATAAACAAGAACTCATCAATTAATTTTATCCATTGAATTTATCTGGCTTTCCTTCAAAGGCGCTTAGCTAATAACTATTAAATTTATTTGAGAACTTTAAAGCTTTAAGATTATTTAAGGTTAATAATATTTTTTTAATTCTTATTGTCTGAAAATCTCAATAATTTAAAGAAACTCTTGAACATAAAGATATCTTATCTATGTGATCAATAAAAATAATAAAAAATAATCCAAATGTCACTAAAAAGAGACAATTCTAGATCGAAGGGAGGAAACCCCTATTCTATTCTTTATTAATCAATTTCACCTCAATAAGGAAATTATGAGGATTTCTGGACAACAGAATGATTAATCAGGACATTCATGTAAAGAAAGGTAATATGGAGGACCTTATTTTAGAAACATTAATTATTGAATGATCCAGACCCAAATAAATGGAAAATATTCTCTTATTTAGGAGAATGATGTCATGTTGGAAGGACAAGAAGAATAAATCATAAGGAACATTCCTGAAGATGAGAATAAAAGAAGTGGGTTTGAAAATATACATAAATGGAATTAGGGCAAAATACTCTATGATGGGGGCTCAATTGAAAATCACTCCGAAAATATTGATTACGAAACAAGCAGAGGGAATGAGATTTCCAGGATGCTAAGATTTTATCAGAAATCACCCTATGTTATATACCATCCTTAATTATATAATATCAAGTAATATTTTTTCATAACCTTCCTTTTTAATTCTGACTAATCAATTAGAAAACTTGAGTACTTGTTACCAGGATTTGACAAAAAACTCCATATAGTTAATCACATAAGACTGGTCAACTTACTTTAGCATAGCAAGAGGAAGGAGGAATTATTAACACCTAATTGAAGAAACCAAGTCAACTGAAAGATAGAGAATAGGTGAAGTATTTAAAGCTTTGCAAGGATCAAATGAACAACAAAAGCCAAACGAGCCTATATTGGAGTAAGGATGTAAGATCAAGACTCAGCTAGGAGCCTGGTACAATTGTCGAGAACAAAGGATAGACTAGCAGAATAATTTAGTCATTAGACGAAGAGTGGCCGAGAAAAAGAATTACTAGAAGTAGAACACATTGAAAACTTTCTGGAACCTACTTCATGCTATTAGAAATTTCACATAAGTACATCGATTTTGTGCCAAAATAACTATTTCTGAAAGGGCTTAAAGATTTTGTCTCAAAATATCTAGATTATATACATAGGGTGGTTATAAGGCTAGAAGGATAGATATGGCAGAGATTGGAAAAGGAATTATATAAACTATGATTTTAAGGAAATACCTAACTATGACTTTACTTTTATAGTGGATCATATATTAAAGGCCTTCCATCCTTTTGTGATATTGTTTACATGGGATTTGAATCAAAAATTTTTTTTACACATATGTAAACATCTCGATTTATTGTGATCAGAATTGAATTCACCCCACAGCTATTTAATTGTTTGTAGAAAACTCGAATGCCCAAAGCAAGAATGGAAAATCTTTATAAATCACATGAACTAAGCTCTAGGATATAGAGCTATGGATAAGATTTCTTTTGATGAGATGATTGTTTGCCACTTTTGGACATTCGCCAGGATATTTTTAAACATTTATGCCCATCAAGTAGGGACACCTTGTACCGTCCATAGTGATATTTTATTTTATTCAACATAAGATTATATTATAATGTATCAATAGATTGAAATACTTTTGATCATAAATAATTGAGTTATGAAATTGTATTAAACAAATGCATTAATCTAATTTAAGTTCTTGCCAAAAGAAAATCAGACTATTTTGGAAAATCGTGGTATTATTTTATTTAAATTTGCAGAAATTATATCTATCCTATTGAAGCTGCTTAAAATGATGCTTATGAAAACAGCTTTAATGATTAAATTAAACAATTGTTTTTTTCTTACTCTTTGTAGGTCCTTTTTATTTTAACTCACAATTGATAATCTCATCATCATCCTCCATTAGCAAAAACCTATTGATTTTAATAGAATTATTAGATTTTATTTATAATTATTGATATCTTTTTTATGCTTTATCTTTTGGTGGTTTTAAGTTTAAAGAGATAAATATTAATTTAGCAAAATTTTTTCAAATGTTAATGTTAGAGTTAGAAGAAATTCTATAAGCTTGATTTGCTTCATATTAATTAGGATAGGAGACAAATATACTTAAAATACTTTCAATCTAAATATTGTAAATTAAAGATAACCATTGAATTTGATTAAAAATTTAAATTTGGATGTATATAATAAGTATATGAACTGCATTGGTCAAACTTTTAAAGGTGCTTTAATCAATCATATTCTTTAGCTTTCTAAATTAAATTATAAAAATCATGCGAAGGCAAATTATAAGAAAATAATCTTCTTAACTAAATATAGGTAACTGATATTTAATATAAGAAAGTCATGAAAGTAAATCTATCAACAATATAATTTGCAAATCATAAAAATGGTAATAACATTATTTATTTCTATTCCTATCGTTGCTATACTCGCAATTAAATTCTTAAATTAGATATAAAGTTACTTATATTTTTCGAAATGATTGCTTTCGATTTATATCATTTATTGTGTCTGCTCTTAAATATTATAATTTATAAAAATAACACTATAATCACTTACATTAAGTCTGTAATTAAATGGAAGTCTAATAATTTTAACTTAATCCTTTTATTTTACTCAGATTTATTTATTTAGTAGAAGTAAAAATATATAATATTAATTATTTACAGTTAATTTTACAAATCTAATTCGCAATAGCAAAAACGAGAACAACTAGAATTTAATTTATTATTTTTTTAAATATCATATGCAGTAATTTTTGAAGTTTTGATAATTACGTTTAAATGAATGTGTCAATACTTACATCATAGCTATATCGTTTCACTAATCACATATAATCAACATATTAATTTTTAGATTACATAATGGTGATTCGCAACTGAAATCCTTCTAAAATATTAAATAAATCACATGTCCTATCTATCATCTACCCCTGAGAATAATATAAAGATATTAGTAAGATATAACAATTATTAGAAATGATAGCAATAATTTTATAGGACATATCTGTCAAGGAAAATTAAATTAACTTTTTTCCATTATATGTTGCAAATTCTAAATTCTTAAAAGTGATTTTTTTTGCCTCTCATGAATAGGTTGAAAAAATATTTAATTGAGGATTAAAGACTTAAGAGTTTTGAATGAATTATGATTCAAGAGAGCTCTGATGACTTTAGATGCCCAAAATATCAGCAAGTTTATATTATGAGTTGGAATATTTACATAATGAAAATCCTAAGTAGACTCATTAATAAAACGTGGATTCTTTATATGAGTCTTAGTTTTTTGGGAATAAATACCTAATAAAGAGGATATGAATTTCGTTTTAGAAATAAAATGANTCATCATCATCCTCCATTAGCAAAAACCTATTGATTTTAATAGAATTATTAGATTTTATTTATAATTATTGATATCTTTTTTATGCTTTATCTTTTGGTGGTTTTAAGTTTAAAGAGATAAATATTAATTTAGCAAAATTTTTTCAAATGTTAATGTTAGAGTTAGAAGAAATTCTATAAGCTTGATTTGCTTCATATTAATTAGGATAGGAGACAAATATACTTAAAATACTTTCAATCTAAATATTGTAAATTAAAGATAACCATTGAATTTGATTAAAAATTTAAATTTGGATGTATATAATAAGTATATGAACTGCATTGGTCAAACTTTTAAAGGTGCTTTAATCAATCATATTCTTTAGCTTTCTAAATTAAATTATAAAAATCATGCGAAGGCAAATTATAAGAAAATAATCTTCTTAACTAAATATAGGTAACTGATATTTAATATAAGAAAGTCATGAAAGTAAATCTATCAACAATATAATTTGCAAATCATAAAAATGGTAATAACATTATTTATTTCTATTCCTATCGTTGCTATACTCGCAATTAAATTCTTAAATTAGATATAAAGTTACTTATATTTTTCGAAATGATTGCTTTCGATTTATATCATTTAATCACTTACATTAAGTCTGTAATTAAATGGAAGTCTAATAATTTTAACTTAATCCTTTTATTTTACTCAGATTTATTTATTTAGTAGAAGTAAAAATATATAATATTAATTATTTACAGTTAATTTTACAAATCTAATTCGCAATAGCAAAAACGAGAACAACTAGAATTTAATTTATTATTTTTTTAAATATCATATGCAGTAATTTTTGAAGTTTTGATAATTACGTTTAAATGAATGTGTCAATACTTACATCATAGCTATATCGTTTCACTAATCACATATAATCAACATATTAATTTTTAGATTACATAATGGTGATTCGCAACTGAAATCCTTCTAAAATATTAAATAAATCACATGTCCTATCTATCATCTACCCCTGAGAATAATATAAAGATATTAGTAAGATATAACAATTATTAGAAATGATAGCAATAATTTTATAGGACATATCTGTCAAGGAAAATTAAATTAACTTTTTTCCATTATATGTTGCAAATTCTAAATTCTTAAAAGTGATTTTTTTTGCCTCTCATGAATAGGTTGAAAAAATATTTAATTGAGGATTAAAGACTTAAGAGTTTTGAATGAATTATGATTCAAGAGAGCTCTGATGACTTTAGATGCCCAAAATATCAGCAAGTTTATATTATGAGTTGGAATATTTACATAATGAAAATCCTAAGTAGACTCATTAATAAAACGTGGATTCTTTATATGAGTCTTAGTTTTTTGGGAATAAATACCTAATAAAGAGGATATGAATTTCGTTTTAGAAATAAAATGAATGATCAATCTTATGAAACTTGTATCCACAAAATATCTATGTTGAGAACAATGTAATCAAAGCCAAGTATACCCTAATTATAAGTAGGATTAAAAAAATTGAATTTGGGTGGCTTGAACATAAGTGATTATAGATTTAATGAGTTGTGACCATACACTCTTAACATTCAAATTATTTCCTCCTGAAAATAATTTATTTAGATACTGTTGTTTCATACTAAGAAAATTAACTATACAAATAATAAATATAGGACCTTTGAATTTTTCATATAATCATCCTCAAACCATATGAAATTTAGTCAGATTTGAAAGGTTTTTTATCTAAGCAGGCTTTAGAAGTTTTCCTAATTCCATCCGACATTAGAAATCTTAAACATTTTAAAGAGAAATAAAATTCAGTGCATTCAAGGTTTGATCAAATTCAAAGGCCCTCCTAAACCGAATTTCTAAAATTTTTTCTTAATATTTTTGAAAGAACTTCTGCTCATATCTAAATAAATTAGTATTGCTAAATGGAATTTTATAAACAAATAAAATTTCATAAAAATTAGAGATGCTTTTCAGACTTTGATGAAATTCTAAAGGTTTTCTCTTTCAGAATTTAATAAATGCAACACCATAGAATCTGTGCCAACCCATATTGCTAGAGTGAGCAAGGAACTTAAATTTAAAATTCTTAGTCATTTTGTATTTGTGAGGTACATAAAACAATGTATGAAGGAATGTGTTATGTTTATCTTAGGAATTATTAGAAGTTTAATAAATTGATATTTTTTAATAGTTGTACAACTAGGTGTATATCTATATTGGATATACAGATAAAGATCTCTTAAGAGCGCTACTTAGGATCAATACTGGGTCTTTCATCTTTGACACGTGCGCTAACTTCTTTTGTATAACATTTACTTTTATTTAGAATTCTGATATTTTTGGAGAGATTAGGAGAAATGGAAGAATTTAAGTTAAGTTTAATAAACTAGGGATTGAAACAACAATTCTATCGTCTGATATCATCTTCTGTAGATATTACATAAACAATAATAAAGAATTATATCGAGATAACTAAAGATATTAAGTACTGAGTTGGATAACTATAAAAAGGATATAATGGAGAAATGAAGCTTAAAATTAGATGGAGTAGAAGTCAGCATTAGAATGGAATTTTTCATTTACATTTGGTAATATTTGGTGTATCTTGTCCAAATAAATGTGTTGAATTTTTATTCTGATATTTATCCCATTGATATGCATAACCTAAATTAGAATAACCCCCTTTAAAATCACTTGTTATTATTATTTCATGACCACTTCCAAACGTAGGTCCATATCCACTGTTACAGTAAATAGAATATTTGCTATCCTATTTCAAAGGATAGATTTATCCATGTGTTTGTGAAAATAAAAATAATGATAATGTATCAACTTAAACATAATCACCAGGATTCTATTACCATTAATATGGAGAATATCCACCAAAGATATCCACTTTGAGACTAAAATACACAAGTAGATTACACTTAGCATTACATCTGTTTAAAAATTAATCTTTGTTTAATCCATCTCTACTTCCTAAATAAATTAATTGCGATTCTTTTATTGTTTTTTTTGATTTTTCTTATAGTATAAAGAATAACCGAACCCAAAAATCATCTTTTAATAATTTTGGCTATATACTTGATATTTATTTATATGATTATATTTTATATAAAACTTATTTTCAAAGTAATCATTTCTAATATTTAAAGATCAACAAAGAGTGTTCGAAAAAAATTTTGATATTGAAACTTAATACTATGATTCTTCCTCTCAATCTCATCATTTTAGAGTTATTTTGGCTAATATCCATATATACCTAGCTTATGATTCTGAATTCTATTTTTGGGATGTACATATTTTCCTTCAAACTAACATCTTTCTCTCTTGAATATTGGAAATGTAAAATATTCTTTTTGAACCACATTTAAAGCTTGAATATTTGTAAATTCTCACAAAATTTTTTTTTCACAATTAGCTTTTCCCACCAATTAACAATAAATATTTCCAAAATTTGTATACTAAAGTTAAAATATCGATGCGATATTTCAGAATAAGACCTGCAGTCTTTAAGATATCTTAATAATTAATTATATTACAATATTTGTTATACCTGACTTTGAGACTCAATTCATGATTCTTATTTGAATGATGGATAATTCATATTATAATTCCTTTTTATGAGCTAGTTAAAAGCTATCTAAGTTTATATTGAATAAATTTAAACTAATGATTTAAATAAATAAGTAAATTCTACAAATACTATTTCAATCTACTTTAAAGAAACTGGAGTTATGTGTTATTGTGGAAGAGATAAGCAAAATCTATCCTCTAAAGTATCAAAATTGATTTGATGGTTTAGGAGAAATAATAAGTTTGTTGGTCTATAAGTAAAAACTAACCAATAGAAGTTACATGGATTATATTCTAGAATTTAATTCGAAAATGTACTAGTCTTTATCCTTATTTGTATAATCATAATTTAGAAAATTTCTTATTAGTAATTTAGAACCCTTTGTATTATTTTGTTCAATAATTCCGTATTAAATTTTTTAATGACAGAAATTTGATTGTTGTATTTTTTTTTAAGAAGTTTTATAATTCACAAATCCATATAAAAATAAAAAATAAAATTAATTTTAATACTGATTCATTCATTCATTTTTGTTCATAATTGCTGATATTTTCTAATTTATATTTGGCTAGATTAATAATCCCAAGTTATCAAATACTCTCCATTTTCACTCATCTATCCATATATATAACCATCTCCAAATTAAATAGATTATTAAGTTATAAATTCACCATTTTGGTTTTTTCTTATCAAATTAACATTTTTTCCGTTTTTATTCACCAGCAGGCATTTCGATTTGATATATTATTATGGAAAGTAATAATCACATCCATTAGAATCAGATTTCACAGTAATTTGTGTTGTCTTTGAATACTAATTATTATTAATATTGATCTCATAAACATACATTTACTCTTTAAGTCTTGGTTGAAATGTGAATACATTATCATTGATGAAACATATTCTATAACCATATTAATCAACTGTTATCTTTTAAATTACATTCCATTTCTAATCCTATTATTACTACTCTATTATTAATATAAACATATCTATTCCACAAGATATCACTCTATTTTATTTTTCATTCAAACTTAATCCTAAAACATCATTTGTAGAATCTGTAATAGTTTATGAACATGTCCAATCATTCTTTTTTATCCAAAATTTAATTGTTTTATCATTACTTCCTGATATGATAAGATCTTCATTATTATTCAATAATAAACAATTAAT